TATTTAAATATTTAAATATTTAAATATTTATATATTTATATATTTATATATTTATATATTTATATATTTATATATTTATATATTTATATATTTATATATTTATATATTTATATATTTATATATTTATATATTTATATATTTAAATATTTAAATATTTAAATATTTAAATATTTAAATATTTATATATTTAAATATTTAAATATTTATATATTTAAATATTTAAATATTTAAATATTTAAATATTTATATATTTATGTATTTATGTATTTATGTATTTATGTATTTATGTATTTATGTATTTGTATATTTGTATATTTGTATATTTATATATTTATATATTTATATATTTATATATTTATATATTTATATATTTATATATTTATATATTTATATATTTATATATTTATATATTTATATATTTATATATTTATATATTTATATATTTATATATTTATATTTTTATATATTTATATTTTTAGTTTAATATAATTTATCTACGAATAGTAATTCAGTAGGTAATTACCTACGGAATTACCCACGGATGATATTACCTACGGAAAATATCCGTAGGTAATGGATAATTGTTCACGGATAGAATTCTGTAGGTAATATCCGTAGGTAATGTACAATTTACCTTTGGATTTTCATCCGTGGGTAATATCCGTAGGTAATGGATAATTACCTACGGATAAAATTCTGTAGGTAATATCCGTAGTTAATGTACAATTTACATACGGATTTTCATCCGTGAGTAATATCCGTAGGTAATGTAAAATTTACCTACGGATTTGTATCCGTAGGTAATATTCCGTAGGTAATAGGCTTTTTTTTTTTTGTAGTGTATGTCTGTGTTTAATGCTGCTATTCTACCGTGTTGGTAGCAGTGGCACTTAATGTTCAAGAATGGTTGGTAAACCGTCACAGTTACTGATCTTAATTTCTGGTTTATTCTTCTTTTATTTCCCCTTTTTGAAATGCTCATCGTTGGTTGTTACTGTTCCTTCTGCGTTGTTCACCGTTGTGGAATCTCAAATACCCTTTTGAGTTTGGACGTTGAAATCTCCATTCGTAAAATTTTATTTTTTTTTAGTTTTTTTCTTTCTCAATTAGTAATAATAATAATATAGTATTCTAAATTCTTACTTTTATCTCAACTAATTTTAATAATAATAAATGTGAATTATTATAGAAATTTAGTGTTTCTCATTAAATTTCTTATTTTTATTTACTAATAATAGTTTTTTTAATAAAAATTTATCCTAAACCACTTCATTTATCGACTTAAATTTGTTTTTACAGTTGGTCTCCAGGAACCAAATTTCAGACATGAAAATCCATTCAAAAATCGATCCCGAATTCTGATTTAGATTTTTTTATGTTCTGCGTATTTTAATATATTTATATATATAATTATTATATTGAATCTGAATTAAATTATATTTTTATATTAAATTGGTATTTTTATTGCAAAGTAAATTAAAAAAGTGGTATATAAATATTAATATGATGTTAAATTTTTTGTGATGAATTAAAAAAATAGTAAGTAATAAATTAAGAAAGAGGTAAGGAAATGATTTATGTTAAATTTTTTACATTAGTTATTTTAAAAAAGAAAAAATCATATTATAAAAATATTAATACATGTAAGTAAATAAAACTTGAATAATTTTTTGGTATAAGTATTAGAATAAAAAAATATATAATATGAAATTTTATTTATTAGAATATTGTAATATGATTCATAAAACTTATTAAGTTTAATGTTAGGACATATTTTTTAAGTGAAGTAAGGTATGTGATAATATACAACAACTTTGGTATTCCTTAATGTCTATTTTTGTTCGTATTAGACTCCATGCATGTTAGGGACATATAATGTCACGTAACTAACTAACATAGGAAAATTTGTCCACTCACTTGATTTGCATTTAATGTATACTTTATACATATCAAGGATACACAAACACTAAATCATCCAATGTATTTCTCAAAGGCATCTTGACTAACATAGAGTCTCTGGCTTGTCCACTCACTTAATTCATGTGCAATGCAAACTATATACACACCAAGGATATGCAGGCGCTGATTGTATTAAATTTCGTAAGAGTGACTTCACCCTATTAAATTTGGTGGTTGTGGCCTAATAAATTTAATCTCTTGTAAATATAAAAAAAAAAAAAGTTAGAGCCTTAACTTGGATTCACATACATTTATCACTTTCTAACTTTGCCCTCTCAAATTCTCTCCTACCCATTCGAGTTTTATATCCTTCCTTTTTTTTCAAAATAATATCTTCTCAATTTGTCCTTTTTTGCCTATGGATATCGACATTGAAGGAGTCACATTAAAATCACCAACACCAAGAGAATTTTTTTTATTAGGAGATTAATTCATTGAGTAGTTATAGTGAGAACCACACCAAAACATGGTCACCATTCAAGTATATTGAGAATTAGTTTAGGGGTATACAAGTATATTGATGTTGAGCTAACAAATGATGATGATGTAAATACAATGTTCCACATTTCTAAATCTTAACAAATATTAAGTTTTTTCATCACATTTAAATCTCATTCATCTTCATCATCTCAACCTGAAATTTCATTATCTCTTTTCTCACCTTCATATAATCCTTAATCGGCATATCACTCTTAACATAAATCCTCTCTTATCATCCTTCACCATCATATCACTCACAACTTGAATCATCTTATTAACCTAAATCATCATACCCAGTGATCGGATCTTGACCATTGATCTTGGGGGACAAATAATATATTATTAATAAATAATAAATAAATATAAAAGAAAGAAAGAAGATAAAAATGTGAAAGGATAAAATTGTAGATACATACTTAAATATATTAAATGATCATTAAGTTTGAGGGGGACAAAATCATAAATTATATGAGAGTTACAAAACTAAGGAAAGACTGAGAGGATAAAATTATAAATATACAAGTAAATATATTAAATGTTCATTAAGTTTTGGGGGCCAAAATCATAAATTACATGGGAGTTACAAAACTTTGTCAGCTTCGAAGAAGATCTGCCACTGATCATACCACCCATAACATAATCCTTCATATTATGATTCTTGGAAATCAAATATGCAAACATACACACAACTTCTCAAGGATTTGTCATTAATCTTAAAGAAGATGAATCATACTCAACTCAATAACAAAACAAGAAAGAACAAGTCATTATAGGTCTTCCATCCAAAAGTTTTGATCATTTTAGTGAGGATGAAGAAGATCAACAATCAAAACCATAATCAAACATTTAACCTATTGAACTAACTTATAACCCCACTATAATAATTACTCTTTCCAATCCATCATCAATTATCTCACCAAGAATTTGGTCATGCTTTTGACCAAGATACATCTGTCTACCCGTTGAAATACTATTTATTGATCTGTACTTCAACATCAAGCAAGATGTCAAAGACTCAATAAACATATTTCACATCATCCACCGTTGCACATAGACAATTTAGGTTTTTAGTTTAGTGTATTCATGTATATTGTAATTGGAGGTGCAAAGAAATATTGTGCACTAAAAATCAATATTGACAAATGATAATCTATATGGATTTAAGTCGGGCTAGTTTGTAAGCGTATTAATCAATCTGTTTTACAAAATAATAATTATTTTTAAAATTAAAATAAAATTGATATTATTTTATTAAAAAGTATACATGCATTATAAATTAATTTGACAAGAAACTCACTTATTCTGAAAAGTAAATAATTGAGTAAAAAGATGAATTACTATTTTAGATCAATAAATTACTAAAACATTAATAATAATAATAATAATAATAATAATAATAAATAAATATTAACTCTTAATTTAGAATTGAATATATTTATTATCTTATAATTTATATGTCATATTATTAAATAAAAACTATTTTTATTAATATAATTTAAATTTTAAGAATGTATTTTTTATTTTTTATGTATATACTTTTAAAATTTTTAATCAGGTCAAATCTGATTTATTAGTTTGATATATGATTATATTTGACTAAAAATTATAACCTATTTTAAAATATAGGTCAGATTAAATAATTAACATTTTTACCTAGTTATAAGAATGAATTATCCGTTTTGATAACCGTCAGAATTCAATTTCTCGGTAATTAAATTGGATTATTCTATTGTATTTGATGAAGAAAGTAGTCTAAAAGTATATTTGGATAATTTTTTTATTGAAAAAAATTCTTATATTAGTATTAATTTGGACTAATAGATCTTATTTCACAGGGATTTAATTAATTTTAGCATGTTATATGTATTTCACTCTCTCAACTATGAAAAATAATAATATATAATAATTGACAAATATTTTGAATAGAATGTAATTAAGAAATTAAATTATTTTAACTTTAAATTATAATAATAAAAAATTCAAATATTAAAAAAATTGGAAGAGGGAAGTATATTTCTTAGTTTTTGCAAAAGCGGGAAGAAAAAGTAACTGGAATTAGAGTTTAACTTCGACAATCTTTTTTTTTTTTCTACAATTTTTTATTAATAAGATTATCTGAAAATTCTAATTCATGGTTAAAGAACAATATAAACAACATCTAAGAAACTATAAATATGTTTGTCTAATGCAGAAATAGAACCACCTTATCAGTATGTACTTAAAAGAAATATCGCTACATCAAGTTTTGATCTCAATCACGTCGTGTTTTATTTAAAGAAAATACAAAATTTGTAACATGTCACCTTATTTTTTGTTTCGTGTTAGTCTTTACTGGAAAATGTTGTACTATTTTTTGTCAGATGCCTAAGGAATTGATGTCTTACAATGTTAATCTCTTGGCTGATTTTCAGAAAGCAAAGATAAATTATTTCAGTCAGTTTCAGCATCAAATTTCAGGAGTTTCCTTCAGTTTTCTATGCTGGATCTTTTGTATTACAAGGTTTTGGACCATGTTAAACTAAACAGTTTGTGTTATTCTACTACTTTGTGCAGCTTGAGAAATGGCAATGGAGACATTTCTATTCACCTCTGAATCCGTCAATGAGGGCCACCCTGACAAGCTCTGCGATCAGATCTCCGACGCAGTGCTTGATGCCTGCCTTGAACAGGATCCTGACAGCAAGGTTGCCTGTGAGACATGCACTAAGACTAATATGGTCATGGTCTTCGGAGAGATTACAACCAAAGCCAACATAGACTATGAGAAGATTGTCCGCAAGACTTGCCGTAAGATAGGATTTGTCTCTGAAGATGTGGGTCTTGATGCTGACAAATGCAAGGTGTTGGTCAACATTGAGCAGCAGAGTCCTGATATTGCTCAGGGTGTGCATGGCCACTTCACCAAGATCCCAGAAGAAGTTGGTGCTGGTGACCAGGGTCACATGTTTGGTTATGCCACTGATGAAACCCCCGAATACATGCCACTGAGCCATGTCCTTGCAACCAAACTCGGAGCTCGCCTTACTGAGGTTAGGAAGAATGGAACCTGTGGTTGGTTGAGACCAGATGGTAAGACACAAGTGACAGTAGAGTACTACAATGAGAATGGTGCCATGGTTCCAGTTCGTGTCCACACGGTACTCATTTCCACCCAGCATGATGAAATAGTTACTAATGAACAAATTGCTGCGGATCTTAAGGAGCATGTTATCAAGCCTGTCATTCCTGAGAAGTACTTGGATGGCAAGACCATCTTCCACCTTAACCCTTCTGGTAGATTTGTCATTGGTGGGCCTCATGGTGATGCTGGTCTCACTGGGAGAAAGATTATCATTGATACTTATGGTGGCTGGGGTGCACATGGAGGTGGTGCTTTCTCAGGAAAGGACCCTACTAAGGTTGATAGAAGTGGTGCCTATGTTGCAAGACAAGCAGCAAAGAGTATTGTAGCAAGTGGACTTGCACGCAGGTGCATTGTTCAGGTCTCCTATGCAATTGGTGTTCCTGATCCATTGTCAGTCTTTATTGACACTTATGGAACTGGAAGGATTCCTGACAAGGAGATTCTTCAACTTGTGAAGGAGAATTTTGACTTCAGGCCTGGAATGATCACCATTAACTTGGGTCTCAAGAGGGGTGGCCATAGATTCCTCAAGACAGCTGCCTATGGACACTTTGGAAGGGAGGACCCTGACTTCACTTGGGAAGTTGTGAAGCCAATCAAGTGGGAGAATCCTCAAGCTTAAGCTTTTGTTGGATAATAATTTACTGTACGTGGGTAATTTTTTACCCATTAAAAATAAAGTGTTTTGGTACACAATTTTTATATCGAAAATTGGTTTTCATTACTTTTCAATTAATTTAAATAACTCTAAATTTTAAGTGAGACTCACCCTCGTCAATATGCTTCAGCTATAATTTTATAAAACCAAGATTCTTTCTCTACTTACTGTTACTGATCACAAACCCCACTCCAAAAAAAAAATAAAAAATGAAAAAACAGAGAGGAGAAGAAACATTTCCTTTTCCTTCCATGTTTAAAACCAAGGCCGAATGATCAGATGAATCGTATATGCATTTCAAGTTGGGTACTTGATTTTATTTTTATGAAGACAAGTTGAAGATTATGAAAGAAATAAATCGTGTATGCATTTCAACTAGTGGTCTTTAGAAGTTGTCCACACATTGCAGTGGTAATGTGTTGTATTTTGCATGTTAAAACTAGTATATACTACAAACGAGCCTTTATTTTGTAAAACCAAATTCAAAAGTGATTAAGCAAAAAATAAACAAAGATTGGCACATTTCTGGCAATTTTCATAGCATTTTTCCGCAAAATATTGCTTCTATACTCATTTATTTGACTAAAAGAACATACAGAATCATATACTAACCGAATTTTGAAGACCAGAAACTTTTTTTTTCGTAGGTATAGTAAACAAATGATTTGTTTTTCGAAAAGCTGGGCATTCCTTATAATTGAAATCAGTTACAAAGTAACGTTGACTTGTAATCAAATATTTTTATTCAAAACATAAAATATTTTTAGGACATCTTTGTGGGAAATTGTTTCTTATAATTTAAACAAATCCAAACATGCTACAACCCCGGACATTCCATATTTCAATATAATTACCATTTATACGAACTCGTCATTTAATCAAAGACGAGTGTAATAATCCACACAAGTATAACAACAAAATAATGCTACCAAATAAAGTTTGAAGTAGAGTTGCATCTACATACAGTGTACAAACATGACCATTTGAGGATAACAAATAGTAAATAATATTTCACAGTTTAGCTAATACAAAGAACGAGTCCTACAGGAAATCTCAGTCATTCAGTCTATGAACGCATCCTTACATTACCTATCATGTTTTATTGAGTTGCAAGTTAATGAACCTTAGCTTGTTCCAAAGTCCAACGTTTCCCACCTGAAGGGTCGGAACATACATATTACTTCGGGAGAGCTCTTAAACAGAAGGGCCACGCAGACACAGACTGCAGCTATGGCTACCATTGAGAGCATTGCAGGTCTGTAGACTAAAGACCTGCCTACTGCAGTTCGGCAAGAAATTTTACTGTCACAGAGTTTACAGTGCCCTTGGCTAAGCCTTGCTGCAGCCTTTCCAATTTCAAAGCTAGTGGATGACTCATTTTGCTTCTGGTTTGTATTGCTCTCTGTCGTGTTACTTGGAATCTCAACCACCACATGAGATGCTCCTTGTCTCTTGTTAATTTTCTTCTGCACCAAGTGAATGTAAGCATAATGGCCACGTAAACGTGCATAATCCTCAGGTGTGGAGCCTGTGCTGTCACGAGCATTTTTCCATGCTTCAATTCCCACCTGTAATTAAAAAACTCCATATTAACTAACCTGAAAACATTAAGCTTCAGATTTCCAACACGCATATAATAGGAAAAAAAAGTTATTACTATCAAGGTTTCAGCTCATTCAAAGTCAGAAATACAGGTGGTGAGAGTAGTTCTGTGGGTAAACCAGTTAGTTATACAGATTGTTTGTCTTTGGACAACACAGGTTAGTGATACCCAGAATTTTTTTAAAAAGGAAGTATGCAACGGTGACAAAAAATTCAAATACTGTAACCAACGGCTAAATGCAGGATTTGGATACAAGAGTTAAATCCAGTGATGGAGGTGGTCCAAATAAAACTGGTAAGAAAATCTCCAACATAGTAAAAGAAGTCAATCCTCACAGTGATGTATAATTTGATGTAGCAGAAACTTTACCATGCACGGATCATTAGTTAAAGCATCAAGGACATCCTCAGAACCGTCTTTCCCAGCTGCTATATGGAGTGGTGTCAAACCAGCAGGACCAACGACATCAGGTCTAAACAAGAAGGTCTGATTCTCTCCATCAACTAGAGCCTTGACTTCCGCTCCTAAATGATCAGAAACATTCTCAGGAACATATCTCAAAAGCAACTCCACTAACTGCTTGCTATTTCTCCTAACAGCTTTGTGAAGGAGTCCCATCTCTGAAAGTGCAAGATACAGGGATGGATGATCTCCTGTATTTACCGTTCCATCAAGCAGTAGGTTCAGCAGTTTTTTCACTGCTGCACACCAATCATGATCAATGGAAAACTCAATAAGCCACTTGAACCGTTTCAATGGAAAGAGATCAACACTAGAGCTCAACTGAACCATCCTTAATTTCAACTGGCTTCTGTGAAGAAGCCAACCCATTTCATGAATAAAATCCATGGCTTGATTTTTGGCTTTAACTTTTCCAGTTCCTTCAACTTCTGGGTCAGTTTCACTTATTTCCAGAAGGGGCTCAAGTGTACAGATTTCTGAGCAAACATCCTCTTCCACAACAATGAAAGGAAAAAAGCTGCTACTCAAACCCTGGTCCTCAATCTAGCAAATTATGAAAAACAAAAGTATCAAAAATAAAGCTCAGCCACATGGCATTAGTATATAATTGCTTATCTTAACTTAAAAATATGGCACAATAGTAAATAGATGCATGCTAGTGTCAATATGAATATCAGCTGTCAAGTTTATGACTTATGACATTAGTTAACACTTAACAGTAACCAGTGTGAGTGAAAGTGTGCCATTAAATAAAAGTAAAAACAGGATAATATACAGATATGCTTTTTCCTGTTCATAGCAAAACTAGCCTGTCCATCCCTACGTTTTACGGTTGATAATTTGGGAGAGTGAAGAAAAATCACCTCAATAAATCCTCTTCCATTCATCACAGGGACAGAACATGAAAACTGGATGCACTGAAGTTCATCAGGCTCTTTGGAACATTGATCCATTGACATATTAGCATCTTCACAGACCAGATATTTTCCTTCTAAAGCACACATTAACCTGAGGGTAGGTTTAAGGGTCATATAAAATGGTAGTTCAACAAAAATATAGATATATTTAAACAATGTCCTGGAACTCAGATAGTATGTCCAGGTAGCTTTCTGGGTAGATATTTCAACTACAAACGATGCAAAGGATTGACAATTCACAAAGGAATGGAGATTACCTAGTGGCAGGGCGTAACAGGTTGACACCCTTAACAGAAAATTGAGCTCTCTTTGATGCTGGTACAGCAATTGGACTAACAGTCAAAATCTTGCTATAGTTGTTACTTCTGAAAGGTAAGGAGGTATCTATGACAACTTGACCTGCAGCATGAAATGCCATATAAAAACTGTTACTCCTGAATGATATAGTTATTTCATACATAAACCACGTGTCAACAATGATATAGTTATTTCATACATAAACCACGTGTCACCAATGTAGGTTGTACACAGCATTAGAAGCCCCATAAAATAACATCAATGCTTAATGCAATCCACCACCTAAAGTTATATATGTCGTTAAGACACAAGTTAAACGTAGATAAACATGTTTAACAACTTGAAATTTTTACACATACAATAAACTTTATAACTGAAAAAAATTTACTCCTGTTATCTTGATCCCCTAAAAACAACAATGACTTTGACAAAGAGACATGGAAAGAGACCATTAAAAATGAAGGCCATCTGATGCTGCACCCTGATGTGAACCCATCCATTTCTCCAAAAAGTGTCATCTGAGACATCCAACAGCCTATTCAAACTGGAAGTCAGATCATAGCAAAGCTGCAAATAAGGGGAAAAACATGTAAGGTCAAGAGTGTCACCAGTTAAAATAAAAAACCCAGTGTAAATTTAGAAGGTAAAGGCTTACTTCCTCCCACAAAGGCTCAGCCTGACGCAGATAAATGGTCAAAACAATACAACCCGGCCGAATATAGCTCTCCATGTCAGTAGGACTATGAGATAACCAGTCAAGAATCTGGCAATTGAAACCGTTGACTGTTATTAAATTTCAAATAAAAGAAATGAATAGCAGTTACTCTCAGTGGCTTTAGAAAGCATAAAGTACCTGTGCTTTAAGTAAAAGAGGAAAATCATTTGGCTCTTTACCGAAGAGCTTAAAAACAATTCGATCTGTGCGACTCTGAATGGAAACAAAAAAAATTAACCATTAAATAAATGATAACAATCGCAATAATAAATTAAATACAGAAAAAGGAATTTTCAACAACCTAAGTAAAAAAAGGGAATGTTTATCAATTTAATTTTTTTCTGTTTTCTTGTCAAAGATTTTGTTTTGTGCTGGTGAGGTGTATAAGAGAGTTTAATAAAACACAGGAAGGAGCAAATAGCTAAATACATGAGTAAATAAATTTCATGTTCTAAGAAGGCATAGGAAAAGCAGTTGCAATACAAACTACTTTTCCCCTTAAACTTAGCAACAGCACACTTGACCTGTCACTGGCTCGGAGTAACAGCTTTGTTGCCTAGTGGCCCTTGGATTCCTTAGGAAGCAAAGGATGGAGTGTTAAATCCCTTCAAATATGCTACACCACTTCATCCCATCCCTTACCAGGCTCTAAAAAAACTCCCTCCAAAACAAATACACTCCAAACATCTGAACTCAATGGGTGCCCACTGCCCCCTTCCCATCTCTCTTACCAATCAAAGGCCTCGAGCCATGCTACTTCTTGCAGAGCAAGATTAAATGAGGCAGTTCACTTCTTTATAGTTTACCAAGCTGGCATAGCATGTCAGGGTAGCATCATAAGTCTAAGAACCAAGACCATACACTTCCTATGTCCTTAATATACAATTCACTTTCGTGGAAATTTCTATCCTTTCTATTGAAAATCACATAATCATGGGATTGAATTGCTTATTTGTAAGGACAGTGTAGA